TAACTTCCTGTTGTTATGAATATTTGAAAGAATGGCGGCTCATCCTATTTTTTGGTTTCATTTTGGGCCAGCTTCTTCTTTACTCATTCTTTCCCATATATCACTGTTAATAGATTAGACGTGGCTATTTGGAACTGCCTAAAAATAATATTATTCCAATTATTTTTTCTATGTTTCTTGGTTACTATTTTTGTGTCTGAAAATGCAGCAGCTGCATTTTACGTTCGGTCTGGCAGATTTTATTTGAAATATATTTTTTAATTATTTCAATAAGATAGTTTGATAGATAGTTTTTTTTTTTATGTATGTGATCACTGATAAATGTTTATTTGTGGTACTCTGTTCTGGGTGACTCATTAGAACATTAATTTTGGGATGATTAAAAACTGTGAAAAATCTCATTTAAATTATATAGTTTTTCTTACCCTAACCTGTGCATGTTTTTGCAAAAATGCTGGGTAGTCCCACTATGTCTGATCTATTTGACCTAGTGCACCAATCTGTGTGTCCTGGGAAATGCATTCAAAACAAGGACATATTTCTTTTAAACCAAAATTCTCAACATACCTGCTTCCTCTAAACTGGGAGCCCTGTTTAACAGGTAGTAAAGGACGTACTCATCAATGTGTTCAAGGAGGCATTATGAGGTTAATTTCTTGTGTTTAAGGAGATAATTTTCATTTCATCAATTAGAAACCAGGTTTAGTCTTCTTTCAGGCAATCGGAGTGATATTTCTACCAACATTCAGATGACATTTTTATTCCTGTGGACATAGTGCAATATCATCTCTAGCTCAGCCTTACCAACAGCTCTTTTCATTTGTCCTGTTCAGATAATGCTTATAATTCATGCCAATTATCAATATTTCTTAGTGGGCCCCACTTTTGATTGAAAGGAAAAGGTTTGTGCCCTCTCTAACCATTCGGTTTCACAGTTGAACAAAAAAATGCCCAGTGAACAATGACACAATGTTGAATGTCACATGCAGTTAAACTTTATTGAAATTGAAAATACAGCCTCCTTAAAATTACAAAACTACTAAGTTTTTGCTTTGATTTTACTTAGTAAATAATATCAACATTACCCATGACATATGTTTTTGATTACTTATAAAAAATTGGTCATTTATCTCGTTAATTTCTACAATGATCCTGCTGCAATTTTACCAAGCCCTCCCTGGGTATTGTGCTCCCTAAATTATTGGAACATTTACCAGAAATTGTTTTGATTATAGCATTCTGTCTCTTGAAATAGACATCTACTTGCATGTGACTTTCAGGACTTGATAATAGTATGCAAGTCAGGTTGTATTGTACAAATGTAAGCTGCATCAGTCAAATAGTTTTTTATTTTATAATTCCTTGCTTTTCTTTTTTGCAGTTGCCATTTTACAGCTTAAATTAGTCCTTAAAAAATGTTAATTACAATAGAATCTGAAAGTACCATACCATACCATACCATACCATACCATACCATACCATACCATACCATACCATACCATACCATACCATACCATACCATACCATACCATCTTTATTATAAAGCGTTTTATACACCGACCACAGTGCTGTACACAATCAAAATATACAATGCAATTATAAAATAGAAATTATTAAAAATAAATACATATTAATATTCAGACACAATAAAAAAATTGAAACCTCTTAGATGCCAAAAGCCAAAGAAAGAAGATGGGTCTTAAGAAGAGACTTAAAATGGCAATTAAATGATTAACATCAGAAGCCAGCTAATAGCTATTTAAAAAAAACAAAAAAACGAGGCAGTACTTCTGATGGCTTTCCATTGATCTTTATAGTTTGCCTCTGAGTAAATTAAAAATATTGAGTCTTAGCTGTACTATGGATCAAAGGCTGGAATATTTCTGCAGAGTTTAACCAAATGCACCATGGGCATCACTAACTTAATTTGTTCTATCCACCTGGTTCTTTCCATGAAGATATTTTTATTATATAGTTGATTCAAATTAATCTGATCACGGATATCTCTTTGTGTTATGAAACAGCCTCCACTGCAGATATACTAGGGCTCCTTTAATCTTATTAATGTCTCATTTTCATTTTCTGTTTGGCAGAGGGCAGCATCCCCAGTCCTCCTCTGTGCCCTCCCTCATGGTTTGCCTGTGATGGAGGGGAGTGTATCGAGGAGAGCAAAGTGTGTGACTTCACAACACACTGTCCCAATGGAGAGGATGAAGCCAGCTGCCGTAAGAACCACTTTACGAAGCTGCACCAGGAAAAAAAATCCCATTTTAGTCCCACTGAGAGATGATTTTAGATGTATCATCTATTAAAAAAGCTGGCATGTTCTGATATTAGTTTGTATTGGATTGAAATGTTTCAGCAGTCTTTCTGCCGCTGCAGTCAAGAAATTGATTTTTTTTTTTTTTTAAAGAAAATGCTGTTAAGGACAGAAAAGACTGTATCTTCCTCAAGTGCTGATTGTTGTCTCTATGTCCAACTGTATCTGTTGCTGTACCTTTACTTTTTGAACTAGAGGAGTCCTTCATGCTGTTCAGTACAGGTTACAAACTGATTAGATTTATAAGTGTTCTTCAATCAGCCACATATTAAATTATAAAACTACTTTATCAGCTCTACGCCTGCTAAGGGTTTCAGATTTCAAAGTACTGCAGATGCAGCCAAATGAAAGCTTTTCAGAGTAGAAGATGTGAGTTAAAAATCAACTGATTTCTCTTTTTATTAACCACATCTTCTGTTTTTATTGTAAGTTAAAATACAGTGTAAACATGATGGCAACCATTCACTTATATTACATTTTACTTTCTTTATTTGCTGGCCACATCTACAATGTTGTGCATTTTTTGTGTGCACGGCATGTGCAAATGTAATAAAGTTTATTCAGTTACAGAATAGGTGCAGATTATTACAAAGCACCAATCTGTACTCAGCTACAGAGACCTGTGGTTATTATTGGTTTCTTTCCTCCTCTGATTAGTTTAGACTGAAGCTTTGTTCAAGCCAACAACTTCATCACAAAGACGAGAAAATTCTGCAAAGTTTACTTTGAACACTTCATTAGCAAACAGTTAGTGAATAAAACGTCACCTCCTAAACAATTAGGTCCAGCTGATTCAGTTTATAACATACCAACTAACAATGTCAATCTTCAGAGAAACAGCAAATGAATCAAATTAAGTCAGATCAGGTAAAAACTGTATTTTAAGCTATCCAGAGGGACAATATCTCTGCAGTTATTTGGTTTTCTTCCATTTCAGCCTCTGAATGTAACTTTGAAAACGGTTCATGCGGCTGGTATGAGCTCACTCCTGGAGATGGTTTTGACTGGATCAGAGGCTCATCTGACAATGTACCACCAGACTACTATGATCACCCACCACTACTGGACCACACCACTAACGACACTAACGGTAGAGAAAACAACGAGAACATCCACACGTATGACACATGCTACAAATAAAGAGAAATTGTACCAAGTGCATGGCATCCCGACCAGATATACTAGAAAGATACATTATTTAAAATCTACATCTGAAAATAGTATTTTGTTAGGTAAAATTGTTGTTTTTTTCCTTTTTTTAAATAGTCAAACAATAAATCTCTGCAAAGTATATCTCCTTCATTCATCACAATATTTCATCTATTTATTTGGCTTCATTACATCTTCCTGCTTCTTTCCTAAACAGAGACGACAGCTTAACAAGTCCTGTTAAAGCAAACAAGCAACATCTGTTGTTTTAGTCATGTTAAAGCAATCTGTTGGAGATTTTTATTTTTTGTGGAGCCTGCAGACAACATAAGATACAGTATTTATTTAACACTTCGAATATAAATATATTTTTTAGAATATACTGTAAAAAAAGTATCATGTTCTATAGCTATCTTCTGCTGCTTAATTATTTTCATACAAACAAAAAACTACAGAAAATTACTAAGTTTTCACAATGTTGTGGTTTAAGCAACAGATAAAATATTCTGATATTAGCACTGTAGCACAGCTCACTTTTACAGCCAGTTAGAAACAAGACTTTTAAAACTGGCTCACCCATGGCTGTTGCTAACAATTTTAAAATAACATTACAGAAAAGCAAAGTTTTACAGGATATTTGGAAAACAGCAGTTTAAAGCCAGTTCCACACTTATTTTGCAGGCTACAAGAGGATGTTAAAAAATAGCATAGCTGGCTTTCAGAGCAATCAGGGGAAAAAAGGTTCTCCATAGGCTGGGACTTAAAAGCCTATAGTTATATACTATAGAAAAATTGTTGATAATCATCATTAAACGTTAGGAAAGCAAGAGTTTGAAGCCAGGTCCCCATTTATTAATGCATACTAGTTTAGCACTAGCCTGCAAAACAGCAAGCAGTTATAACCAGTAAGAAGTGGCAGCTTATAACAGTTAAAAAAAATTATATATATATATATTTGCATTGAAATACAGCAGTGGCGCCAGTAATCTAAACAATTTATGGAAAAATTGGAAGCCCTCCCGAAATGCAAATAGTGCTCAGCTTTGAAGGGAGTTTTCACAACCATGTGCAGTGATACCCACAGCACATTCAGCTGATGTTTATATATTATCTCATTCTCAAATCAAGGAATAGTGGGATTAAACAAAGATTTTTTATGAAGAGTCTAAGATTTTTATGAGCATCCATAGATACAACTAAGGATGTGCTGTCACCATGGCAACTTTGATATGAACACTAAGGGGAGGGTAGAAAGCGGATCAGTCAGGCAAATGCATTAAAATGGATGAATTCGAGGTGTGAACAAAGTTATTTGTAAACAAACTGTGTAGTTTGAAATCATTTATTCTGTCAAAAATATTAATTTTATGTAGTTCAGTAAATAAAGGATATTAATGAAGGTATCTGTTACTGCAGGTCATTTCATGTTTGTTCTGAAAAACAGCAGCAGTCTCTATCCAAAAGCTGTTCTCAGAGGTCCCTGGTTTAAACAATCAGCCTCAAGATGCACAGTGACTTTTTGGTGAGTGACCTGTCACATCCTTTACTCTCCATGGTTTGCTATTCTTTTTTTTTTTTTTTAATCATCTAGAGCTTTTCACA